CTTTCCCTTCAGATCACTTTACACACCTCCAGAGCTGGATAGAGATTTCTTGTAAATGCCTCCGCTTCGTATAATTGTATTTACATATTCATACGTCACCAGCCCTAAGGCATACTGATTGGACGCCTCGGTGTTGTGCTGGCCAATCCTTTGTCATGACATTCTCTGTTCCTCACTTGAGCGGGTGTCTTTTATAAATAAAGCGGCGTGGATGGTTGTGAATGTAAATTACATATTCCTCATCAGCCCGCCGTAACGACTTTAGAGTTAAGTAAGAGTGTAAAAGATGAATCCGGGTGGTCGCAGACTAAAACAGTGGCTTATAGAACAGATCGACAGTAACATCTATAATGGACTGCTATGGGAGGATGAGAACCGCACCATGTTCAGAATCCCCTGGAAACATGCAGGAAAACAAGACTACAACCAGGAGGTGGATGCGTCCATCTTCAAAGTAAGCATTCTTTTATTATAAATTATCATTTAGTCTATATAAAGTGCTGCTGCTGTTACTATTAACTTACTATTATTATTACTACTACTAATATGTTTGTTGTTGTCGCTGTTTGATAAAAGTATGTAGATTTTGTAATATGTAGATGATAAGATTCTGGTTATTTAGATCATTTATTTAGACAATGGCAAATGATACGCAAAATTTGACACAAACATAACATCTAAATGTGCAATGCTTTATTTTAAATTATGTTCAAATGAACTAATGGACAGTTACCTCTGTTGAGATTTTGCCACAGTTTGACATTGCTGGCTTTCACCCTCATGCAAACTTATTTTTACAGTAATTATCCAGTAATTAGTCATTGCTAATAGAAGTTATAATTTCTAACTAAAACATAACTAAAGTAAAAATTATTATAATTATAGTATAATTTATTGCTAAATTCATTTTTTAACTAAATTATATTTTATATTGTTACATTAATGATGTCCTGCAACTGTTTGTCTGTTCTAAAATACAATGAAATGTCCACTGTATTCAGCCCCTCAGTTACTTTACAAGTAAATGTTTTGAAAGCAATTCAGATGTTGTGGTGATATCTGACTAAGCATTTGTTTTCACAGGCGTGGGCGATATTTAAAGGGAAGTTTAAGGAGGGGGATAAAGCTGAACCAGCGACATGGAAGACCAGATTGCGCTGTGCACTCAACAAGAGCCCAGATTTTGAGGAAGTTACTGACCGATCCCAGCTTGACATCTCTGAGCCTTACAAAGTGTACCGGATTGTGCCAGAGGAAGAACAGAAGTGTACGTGTTTGCTTTGTTTTTTTACTTTTCCAAGAAACATTAGAAATAGCACAGAGACAAATTCTTATGCAGATATGCATTAATAGAAGTTCAGGGACTCTACAAAATGCCCATTTAATTTTTAACTAAATATTATGTAATATTATGTACATTATGTCATATTATGTAATGTCTTTACAAATTAAGTTAATTAGTGGCTGTATATTTTATTTTGTAGTGGGTAAAGTCACAGTCTCTGCCCTTTCTGGCTGCAGCACTGATACTGAAAAGGGCTGCTCACCAAACCTGGATGAACTTCTTAAAGAGGTATTGCCATTTATCCACCTGTTAAAGGGTTAGTTCACCCAAAAATGAAAATCCTGTCACCCTCATGTTGTTCCAAACACGTAAGACCTTCGTTTATCTTTGGAACACAAATTAAGATATTTTTGATGGAATCTGAGAGCTCTCTGACACTCCATAGACAGCAAGGATATTACCATGATCAACACACAAAAACGTAGCAAGGACATCGGTAAAATAGTCCATGTGACATCAGGGGTTCAACCGTAATTTTACGAAGCTACGAGAATACTTTTTGTGTGCAAAGAAAACAATAATAACATAGCTTATTAAGCAATTTATTAATACTCCCCGAGTTACTGTCTTCCACCCTTTTGGAGAGTACCCCAGAACGTTATCAATGTAATCAGTGTTGTTTACGTTCAGCATGTGCGCGCTTTCTACTGAACGTAAACAACGCTGATTACGTTGATTACGTTCTGGGGTACTCTCCAAAATGGTGAAAGACGGTAACTCGGGGAGAAGAATTGCTGAATAAATTATGTTATTATTGTTTTCTTTGCACACAAAAAGTATTATCGTAGCTTCGTAAAATTAAAATTAAAAATTTTAATTAAAAAAAGGACTTACGGGTTTGGAACGACACGAGGGTAATTAATTACAGAATTTTCATTTTTGGGTGAACTATCCCTTTAACTGCTCAGTTTTCCCTCAGAATGGTGAATGATGAAGGTATTGAGGGGAATGAAGATTTAGTGTGGATTGTGGCAATAATTGACTCATGGCTTATTATTTCTACATAATCTGTATGTGCAGTCTCCAAATGATGAATACATGGGCATCCTGAAGCGTAGTCATTCTCCCCTTGATGAAGGCAGTAACATGCCTTCAGTGCAGGAATGGTGGCAGCAGGGATCTCACAATGGTACAACTGTTTGTGATTTTTAATATTTTAAGAATATTTAAGAAAATAAAAGTAATTTTAACACAAGTACTTTTTTGGTTTCTTAAACGTGTGCATGAAAACTGTTTTCAAAATATTACATGGAAAATGTAAAAATAATTTGGCTGCAAATTTATGTGCTACACGGCCAGTGTGAGATTGACTAACTTCCGTCAGAGTTGCTGACTTAGTGTTTTGTGTTGCACCCTTTCTTTTTCTTTCTTTCTTTCTTGTTGTAGTGGTAGGTACTGATATTTTGTAAATTACATTTTGTGTTCATGTTTATGTGTTTTATGAATATTCACAGCTGCTGTTGTTCATCAAGATCCTGCGGGTACATTCAATGCTGGTATGCCATTTCTGTTGTATGTGAGTTGTAGATTCTGTTGTGTTGTGAATTTATTTATTTTATATAAACTCATATTAGAACATTTGTTCAGGACTTTTTGTTTTCTGTTTTTAATCGCATCTCATAGTCTCCGTACCCAAAGAGCCCATGGCAGAATTACTTTTGCATGTTTAGATTAGATTAGATTCAACATTATTGTCATTGTGCAGAGTACAGAGACAAGCGCAGAGACAATTAAATGCAGTTAGCATCTAACCAGAAGTGCAAATAAAAAAGTATATAAATAAATATAAAATATGTGTATATACATTAAGCTTTATGACATATAGTGGTACATGGTATCAGGTAGAAGGGCAGAGACCAGCTCAATGCAAATGACTGTAAATGATGTGATTAATGAATAATATCAAGAGACCAGCTCAATGCAAATGACTGTAAATGATGTGATTAATGAATAATATCAAGAGACCAGCTCAATGCAAATGACTGTAAATGATGTGATTAATGAATAATATCAAGAGACCAGCTCAATGCATTGATATTATTCATTAATCACATCATTTACAGTCATTTGCATTGAGCTGGTCTCTTGATATTATTCATTAATCACATCATTTACAGTCATTTGCATTGAGCTGGTCTATATATATAGTTGACTGGAAAAGTCATGGAACACCCTGGAACCCTGTTTTACATCATCAATTGTTTCACTTTTGCATGAATGGTACAGTTAAGCACACATTTCTCCCTGTCTCCAGCATTCTCTCAGATGATGATTTGTTTCTACTATGGAGGTCGGCTGGTGGGCAGCACGGTTACCACTCATCCAGAGGGCTGCCGTATCTCCCCCTGCCAGCCCCCTCTGGCTAGCGGCTTCTTGTATGGACCAGACAGCCTTCAGAATATCCGCTTCCCATCTGCTGATCTCATTGAGAACGAGCGTCAGCGTCACATCACCCTTAAACTTTTTAGTCATTTGGAGCGTGGCATACTGCTGCGTGCTAACAGAGAGGGCATTTTTATCAAGCGTCTGTGCCAGAGCAGAGTGTTCTGGAGTGGCCAGGACCCTCAGTATAACCCCAACCCCTGTAAACTGGAGCGAGATGCTGTGGTGAAGATCTTTGACACTGCCAGGTTCCTGCAAGGTAAACAAACATCTTCCCAGATATATTATAACTCCAGAATTATTTTTGTGAAAGTCTGTTTCAGTACAAGACTGCTGAAATACAGTTCACAATTGCATTTTACTAATAAAATCGAGTGTGTCAGTATATAAGGTACTTAAAGGTCATTAATAACATTATCAGTATCAGTTTATTTATTTAACTATTTTTGAAATGCAATTGACCTGATTCATTAGTTATGTACTAATTGGATCAATGGGTAAGATTTATATCACAAATCACTTTTTTTTTTTTCCTTCAGTGCTGCAGTTATTTCAGGAGGGTCATTATCAGTCTCTGGAGCCCACTGTCACACTCTGTTTTGGGGAAGAGTTTAATGATTTCAGCACTGTCAAGAGCAAATTAATCATTGTGCAGGTAATTATTATAAATTACATTATATTCATAATAGATTGTTAGTTGTATAAATTGACATTTAATGTAGTATGAATGAACATGAATAAACCATGGTAGATTTCTAAAAGCACATTAACCTAGATTAATTAATGCTGTAAATAGATTTTCACACTAATGCATTAACCAATTTAATCTTGTTGTAAACATTGAAAATGGAGACTTTCTTAATATTAATTACATTTGTTAGTTTACTCATAGACAATAAAAGTCGCTTTTTTTGCTGCAGATTCTTTTCATATTTTTTTCTGTTTATCTTCTTAATAACCTGAATTGAAGATATTATGAAACATAGCAATAACCTAATTCTTTGTCCAAACAGATCACAGCATTGAACTGCCAGCAGTTGGTGGATGCAGTGACCGCCCGGCGATCCCAGTACAGCAGCGGGAATCTGGAAATCTCAGATGACATGGCCGGTGATCAGATGGCTCGAATATATCAGGATCTATGCAGCTACCCAGTTCCCCAACGAGCTTCCTGTTTCAGGGACAACCTGCCGATTCCAGTCTGAGGCAGATATCCGAGCCAGCTATGTCTCAAAGAATGAGTTAGTTCATATGTTGACCCAAAGTGATGCCTTTACAATTTTATTACATAAAAAATGATTGACTTTTAGGTGTGCCGTCTGTCTGTATAGCATCCTGTTCTCTCAGGGCAGAAAATAGTATCCGACAGAAGGTTTGCAATGTTCTCAGGGATGATGTACTCATTTGTTAGAGGAAATTAAATTTCTTTGTCTTTGTGTATATTTTAGTGTTTCCAGAATGTTTTTTTTTTTTGGCCAAAACATTGAACTTTATCTGTTATTTTTTTTACTATTCACTGTCAAGTTGATAGGTTTTACTATCCTTATTTTGATATTCTTTATTTTCATAACTTTTAAGAAATGCAATTCTGAGTTGGGTGGAGACTAAATATCAAATGAGAAATCTATGAATAATTAAAGAAATTTAAAATAAGCAGGTTGTCTGGCTATTGATTTTTATGTTCTGAGACCAACCATATGGGCCATTCTACAGAACTGGTCAAAACTGCTGTCCCTTATCCAAAAACACATTTAAAAAGCATTTAAGTATTTAAATCTTAGATGTTTACTAAGATCCGTCTATTATCTATTAGTAAGCTTAATATATATAAAATCATAATTTATTGGGATCTTTCAATTGTGCCCCTAAATTTCAACTAAGGAAAATTATATTGAAATAATTGTTGTATTTCTTTCCATTGTTATTTTTAAATGTATCTTATTTATTCTTTTAAAATGTGAAGTAAAACAGAATCTCTTGGATTACAATTTGCAACTAGACGGATGTCATATTTATAAATCATATTTCCCATGTTACAAAAACAGCATTCTTCCATCTCAGAAACATTGCCAAGCTACGAAACATGTTACCTGTTTCTGATGCAGAAAAGCTAGTTCATGCATAGGCTGGACTATTGTAATGCACTGCTAGGTGGTTGTCCTGCATCTTCAATAAACAAGCTACAGGTAGTCCTAAATACAGCGGCTAGTGTCCTTACCAGGTGAAGAAAATATGATCATATTACCTCAATTTTACAGTCTCTGCACTGGCTACCTATTAATTTCCGTATCAGTTACAAAATATTATTACTTACCTATAAGGCCCTTAATGGGTTAGCTCCTGTGTACTTAACTAGTCTTCTACCACGCTACAATCTATCATGCTCCCTAAGGTCGCAAAACTCTGGACTTTTGGTAGAACCAAGGATAGCAAAGTCCACTAAAGGAGGTAGAGCTTTTTCGCATTTGGCTCCCAAACTCTGGAATAGCCTTCCTGATAACGTTCGGGGTTCAGACACTCTCTCTCTGTTTAAATCTAGATTAAAGACACATCTCTTTGGCCAAGCATTCAAATAAAGCATCTCATAATCTTGTACTACTGTTATATCTCATCAAATGCACATTATTATTCCTTAGCTTGGGTTGAACAAATAATTTTTGCTTGGTTGGAACAGCAGCTACGCTAATTATGTCTCTATTTGTTTCTCTGTTTTTGCCACGGGATTGACATCCCGTGGTAA